CGTCCCCTGCAGCAGCCCCCCCTCGCGCACACTCACGCACGCGGACACACGCACACGCACCCCCGCCGGGCCGGTGCAGACGTGTCCTTGAAAGCTTCGCATCTGCACAGTGAAGGACGAGGCCGCGCTGAGACTGCGGATCGGGGTCTACGGCCCCATGTCCCCGCGCCCCAGGAGACCCTGAGCTTCGGAGCCGCAGGCGGCCGCGGCCCGTGTCCCGCCCTCACCCCGGTTCCCCACCCCGGGCCGACCTGGCCTCCCTCCCCTTCGGCGCGGACTGAGCTGGCTGGAGTCCAGGGCCCGCCCCCAGCCCCTCTTCGCTGGGGCCCGCGGGCTTCGAGCTGCCAAACTGCGTTTTGCTTTCCTGGAGCCTGCCTTCTTGGGGGACCCTCCCCTTCGCTCCGTCTCTCTGCTGTTTCCCCCTTTTCTCCATCCCCTCCGTCCTTCTCCTCTCTGTGTCGCAGGGCGAGTTGAGTAGGTGTTGGCACCCTGGGTGGGAGTAGGGGGCCGCTGGTTCTCAGGGGCTCCCTCCCCGGGCTCCCAAGGGGAGCCCCTTGTGGCTGCACCTTGACCCAAGATGGCGTTCTGCACCCAGCTGGGCCGCTGGGGCCTGCGTCAGGCAGGGGAGGAAGGGCTGGAGCCTGGAGCTACACGAGTGCCCCTTTTCAAACCAGCAGCCACAGGATCCTTCAGCGAAGCACCCTCTGCCCTGTGACCCCGCGTGCCCCTCACTGCCGTGCCCAGAGGCTGCCATCAGCATCCCTGGGGACAGTTCAGTCTTCATGTTTCACCCTGGGCTGCCAACAGCTGAGCTGCCTCCTGGGCGGGCAGGCCCTGCGGAGGGATCCTGGGATCAGGTGCTGCTCCTGTGTGCCTCCTCCCGCCTAGGCAGATGTGACAGCTGCAGCTTGGGGAGCCGTTCTCCGAGTAGTTGCTGGGTGTTAGAACTGGCCTGTGGGATTTGGGGAGCCCCGCTGTCAGGCAGAGCCTCTTTGGGCTGACCGCTCTGCTGGCAGAGCTGTGTCTAGGTAGTTTTGGAGACCCTTGCCTTATAGAGTTGGGCTGTGAGAGTTGCTCAGGGCTTTCTGGGCCAAGATGGCTCCTGCCGCTAGGCTCCACGGAGGCCCTAGTGGGGCAGTCGACAGGCAACTCCGAAAGTGTGTGCATGTGTCTGCTTGCGCTGCGGGCCAGTCAGGGGGCCCCAGGCCAAGTTGTGCAGCAGGTCTGGCACCTGCCTGCCTCCCCTGCGGGGACCATTCTCCTCTGGACTCTGGCGTTCCCTCCAGCCTCTGCTCTGGCTCGTTGGTGCTTATCTTCAGCTTCCGATTCAGACCACCCAAGGATTCCCTTGTTAGCACACCCAGGCTGGAGTGCCTTTAGTAGGAGCTTGACCCTAGGAAAGGTGAATTCCATCTACATTCAAGGAATGACCTGTCCCCGGTGCGAGGGCTGCCCTCCCAGTGCTGGAGGAGTCTAGGAGAGGCGGCCAGTGACCATCTGTCAGGGTGTCTGCGGACAGGATTCCTCTGTGGGGTGGGGGTTGGCGTGGAGGTCGGAGGCCCATTCCAGCTTTGAAAATTCTATGGCTCTGATTCTCGGTGGAATTTCAGACCCAGAAGGGGGAAGGGTGGTCTGTTTGTCACCACAGCAGTAATCAGGGAAGGCTTCCTGGGAGAGGAGTTAGGAGAGAGAGCAGGGGCTCAGCCCTGGGAAGGAGGGTGGTGTGAGGCTGGGGACCCTGCAGGAGGCAGGTCTGTAGCCTCTGACTGCAGGGAGCACAGAGTGCAGCTTCCATGAAGCCTTCTCATGAGCGTCCTGTATGTTTATGTGGAAGTCCATGTGCGTGGGTAATTTCTGAGGTTCTTTCCTGAGTCCAGGTCACTGTCAGCCCCTCAAACCCTTTTGGATGCTTTGCTGTCACCTTCACTCTGCTCTCTGCCACTGGACCTCTTGAAAAACAAGCCAGGAAGACAGGACAAGCCAGGATATTGTTGCTTGTCCACGGGCCGTGGGCAGGCGCAAGTGGAACCAGGCCTGCATGCTGGGGGAGCAGGGCTGCCCCACACCACAGCTCCATCCTGGCTGCTGCCGTGGGTTCAGCTCTCCTATCTGTTTGAAAAGGCATCTGGCCTTAGTGACCTCTGGGTGTCTGCTGACCGACAGGCAGGTGTATGGCCAGCTGTTTTCCACCTGCTGTTGCTCTCCCTGTGGCCAAGGGCCATTGCCCACCTGAGGCCAGTTCCTCAGGCTCACGTCTCCCTGTGACAGCCATGTTCTTTGCCAGGCTCCCTGGAGGCTCCTGGTTTGGGGAGCTAGGTAGAAAGGGGAGTCCTGTGTAGCCTTGCTATCTTTCTAATGGGAGGGTCCCAAACAGACCCTTCCTCCCATCCCCAACATAGATTCCATATCTTAAGATTTTAGGTGAAAGAGAATGTTAAACCCTGGGAGAACTTGGAGCTGGGTTAGGGGTTTGGGGGTTGCTGATGCTACCCAGAGCCCGGGGCAGAAGGGCCCCTTCGTGTGTTGTCACATGCTTCTGCCTTTCATACTTTGCTGCCTCTAGCTTGCTGGCCTGGGCACCCCCAGCCCAGTGCCCCCTCTGCCCCCAGAGGTGAGTGTGTCTCTGGCCTCTGGCAGTTGGGACCAGAGGACAGGCCTCACTTGCACTTTTGTGTTTGGTAGATACTAGAGGGTGTCAGCCTGCCTGTGGAGACTGGGTTTTTGTGGGGACTTTGCTGCTCCTGAGTGGGCTCTGAGAGTAAACTAATGATGCCAGCTTCTTTTCCGTGTTGAGGTCTTGCTTGCAGTCATTTGTCTTTTTGACTGTAGCTTTTCCCTTAAAATCATGACCAAATTGGAACTCCATAAAGTGTCGACCTGAGGTTGGTATTTGTGTCCACGTTGCCTCTGCTTGGCTAAATGTGGGACCAAGACCGGGTTCAGTGCATGTGTGTCTGTGCATATTTGTGTGTGCGTGGTGTGCAGCTGTGGGTGGACTGCTAGGACTTGCTGCGACGTGAGCCAGTTGGAGGCAGCATAAGTAAACAAGGACCCTGGAGTCCAAAGGAACTGCGTCTTGACACTGCCTGGGTTCAGGGTCTTGGGAAACTACTTAATTTCTCTGAGCCTCACTTGTGACGTGGGAGTGAGCCCCAACTGTGAGGATGAGATGAGGCTCTGTGGGGACCGACGGACACTGCAGGAAGGGCTCGGGGAAGTCCTGCTCCCCTTCCTGCCTCTTGCAAAATCTTGGTCAGATGAAGAAAGTGCTTACTCTGATTGAAAATCTTCAGCTCGGGGAGGCTCCTCAGAGCCACTTAGCAATCTGTTCCTGAG